CAGTTAACCTTTAATTATTCACATATTTTTCAATTTTTCTGTGGAAGAGAGATTCCTTACCTAAAAATTGCAAGTTTAGCTTTTAAGGCCAAAACCAAAATCAAATCAGATGAAAAAAATTCTTTGCTCAGAGTATCTTCAGCAAAATTTTTCAAAGTGGCTATCATTGTTGGACCAAAATCCAGTGTAATTTACCAATGGTAGACTTCAATATGTAGACTGTATTTAGTTTAGGTACCTGTATATAGGAATCAGAAAGAGTTATCACTTGGGGCAGAATCTCTTTGACATGAAGATCTTGGAGTTCATACCACTTGTTAGCTCCCTGAAATGTACAAACAATTAAGTCAAGTTCTGGCCCACTCCTTGTCTCACAACGTCTGTGCATTACAAAGTAAAGGAAATGTTAGTAAAATGTCAGAGTGCCACTGTAGAGACTACAGAATAAAATTGATAGGAATATTGCATTTTGAACCACAGATGGAAACTTACTTTATGCAGGATGTGAACTTTAAAATTTCCAGCACCTGTTTAAAGGGGAAAAAATATAATACTTCTATAAATGCTGATCTGAGACAGCTGTCATGGAAACTTTTAAAAGCCTGTGTTATCAAGCAAGAGTTGTGGTAGCAACAGTTTGCTGCTCAAGTATCAAAGGGGCAAGAGATTGTTTATTATAATAAGCAGTAGGTGGGCTAATGGCTTGTCTCCTTCTTAGTCGTCTGGGCCAAAGTCACATGAAGTTAACCATCCCCGTGCTGCTGCTTCAAACCAGCATACATTCCTTTCTTGAAATACACTAATCACAGTTCCACTTTCATTTCCTCATGGAGGTTCAGGCCAAAAAATGTCCACCAATCAATGGCCGGTCAGGGTTTTTCCGGGAAAGAAAGTATCAAGAAGGCAAACTACAGTTCCACTTTCATTTCCTCACGGAGGTTCAGGCCAAAAAATGTCCACCAATCAATGGCCGGTCAGGGTTTTTCCGGGAAAGAAAGTATCAAGAGGGCAAACTACTGTACACTGTGATTGGTGCAGCATACACAGTAACTGTGTGCTAATTGGTCTAAGTAAAAATATGGTAAAGAATGGAAAAGGAATATATGTCGCTTTGAAGTAGTTGCGTGGAGGCAGGGAGCATTGTGTGACTTCAGCCCATGCAGCCACAAAGGAGACCACAGGTCTAATGGTCAGTGTATTGCACTTTGAATCAAGTGGTCCAAGTTTGAGCCCCATGTACATTCCCATTCAACTTTATTTCACCTTGAACTTTACACCAGCTAAATATGAATATAATCTAATAACCTCAAGATGAAACAAATGAAATTAAGAAAACAAAAGGAAAAGAACAGGAGAGATCACTTCAAAAAATGCCTCTTTAACCTGCGAGTGCCTATATGATGTGCTCAGTACATTATAATTATTCTCTGACATAGTTCTGTACGCTAACTGAATTTAGAGATAATCGTCGGCGAGCCTGACTGGCCACTATTTTTGTTCCCACAGGCAGTAAGACCAAACAGTATTTACAAACTAAAGTAAGTA